ACTTTGCTGGTTGTAGCAGATCACCAAAACTTGGCAATATAATCTCACTTTTTGACTTTGTTAAGACACAGGCCAAAATATTTAATAAAGCATTGCCCCTGCTTATCTTTAGGTAAAATCAGGGACCAAATATGAGTGATAATAACCATCGGACTTTTCCACCTTTAGCTAAGTGATCAAGCTTATGGCAAACAGTTATCCGCGTGCTTACACAACATCATGGTACATGAGATAAGATTCTTCGTTCCCGGAGAAGCAACGCTGACGTTTCGTCATTCATGGAAGGGTCAGCACTCCGATGTCGGCATCGCAAAAGAAGTGTGGTCCTATTAAACTAGTTAGCCAGTATCGTGTATGGTCAACATATCGTGGATGGCAGGCATGTACTCAATGCTTAACAACCTGATTCGTCAAGAAATATTTCAACTCCGGAAAAAATGAAACCATTAGCACCCGCAACATCAGTTGGCCTAGTCATCAAGACTAAACGTGTAATGGGGATTCGTGTAAATCGGGCAACTATTTGGACCAGAAAATAAACTAGAGCCCTGTGTAAGGTCCAATTAGAGTTAAATAATTCGCTTAAGTGAGTAATCCATATCAGCTTGGCCCAGCGAAGTAGCTGATAGTCAAGAAGGCTAAGACGTGGTAAGGGATTTTACATGTACAAAGTGTATATTGGGATTGAGCTTTTCGCTAAGGCTCCTCAAATGTTGTCATAACCAGAACATCACCGGCCCTGATAATTAACTTTGGATGATGTATCAATTATTACGTGCAAATAGATGAAAAAATGAGCACAGCACTTGCAGATAAAATAAGACATTGGCCTAAAAACGATTGTTAAATATAGATGAGTAAAAGAACGAAAAAAATCGCTTAAAATTTGTTCACAATAAAATGGTCGGGGAGATAAAAGGCTAAAGTATAAACAGGATCCTTGTTCAAATCAAAGCTAAATCGCCTAACCTAGAATTCGACCCAATATACATATGGTCGCCTAAAAAGCAGTTCCGAGAATACCTCAAGGGACAGGAATAGCCTTTAACTGAAAGATTTCAACATATAAAAGCAACAGGAAGCGTTCATAATATGAAAACAGCTAAATTAACTAACATGTTAGCATATTTGGGTAAGCAGTGAATACTTTTGGTCGACAGCGAATATGTTAAAGAATAGCAAGCGAATTAATAGAGGGTCGAGAAATGAATGGAATGGCAAGCATTAAAGTGCAGACTAAATCATTCGCACCAGAAAAAGAAGAAAGGCGCCTAAGTAAAAATATGAAGCAATCTTAATAGGTGTAAACAAGAGCCAATTCGATTGAGTTTATTGTTGAACTGGCAGGATGGGCCAGGTAGCTGCCTTAGTCGTATCGCAAATCTGTTGCCCTCAAGGTAGAATTCGAATCAAAAGGAAATTTTGACACCATCAAACAAGCAGTTGTGCTTTGCGTGGAGTCTTCGTGGTCCGATGATTGTGAGAATCCAAAATGGCAGCTTCTTACGATGTTGGTCAAAGCATTGTCTGGAAGGGTTTCATTGGAAACACCTTCACGTAGAATAGCAGTGAGAGCTAAAAATGATTGGGAGAATTCGGCTGAAACATACGAGCCCCTGTTTGCTGGGCTAAATGCATCGGAGGTGGACATTATATGCTGAAGTAGAGATGCGTCAAGAAGAGAGGCGACCGCTGAAGTGGATATCAGTTTGAAGCCGATGAATAGAAAAATGCGAACAAGTGACTCTGGAATAGAGAAGGGATCAAACCTCTTAAATAAAAAAAAAATTAAATAGCAAATTATATTGAGACGACGTACAGTCACTTGTAACTACCATCTAATCTCATCACAAGAGAAATTTTGCTTTAATTTACCTCGATATTAAAACGTCAGCAAATAAGCAAGCATACATCAGGTTGATAAATTAATTTTTTGTCTCATATGATAAATAGTTACATAAAATCGAAAGGGTTAAGTCTTGATGACTAATTAATTATTGTTAAGTAGGCAAACTTGCTCTATGGCAGCATGTGATAGTTAGTGCAATCTCGAGTTTGCTCATACATTTGCCATGATAAGGACAATCGGCATACCCAAACATTCCGTAACAAAATATCAGCCAAAGTTAAATCACACCACAATCCTCCAATATTAAAG